TTCGGTTAATGTTAACTTTTCAAGATAATTTCAACAAAACTTATCATGTTCACTTTCTTATGTTGCAAGTGAAGCTTAACAGATTAATTTCCTATTGGTATACCAACGGTAGTCAAATTCCAGATGAAAGATTCAAAACCAGCATCTAATGTACTTATTTAATGGAAGATTATAAAACGGGGCCGATGCTTTGCTTCTTATGGAACACATCATGCAAAGTAGGGGAAAGTTCTCAGGTTTTTTTACAACCATCTCTCTATAATCCACTCTGTCACAATATGCATTTAATGCTCAAACTTGTTTCCAATCTTGCATTTCATATGGAAACATTTTTAACATTACTTTCATTTGCGAAAAAACTCGGCAGTAAGTTTTATTTAAAAGTTTTGGTACTGTATTTTTGGATAAGTATGATAGTTTCACCTGTTACGGCTGATTTGTGGGTATCCAAAATATTACTGGAATTTCGACGATACAACTTCTTTTTTGGTTGTTTCTGAGTAATTTAGAATTAATTTGTAATTTCTTCAATTTGCAATTTTTTCCTTTACTCGCTAATAGACTCCTTCTTTTCCTGGAATCAGTTTAATGACAAGAAGATGCTACATCTTATTTGGGGTTTATTTGGATAATGTAAATTGATTTGGGGTTAAAGTGCAATTGAAGTTTTCATGAATGTTGATATTCGTCCTGAAATCCTAGGGGAACAGCCATATGCCAGAATATGTTTTCTCTTCGATTTTCTCTTTGCAATGGATTCGATATTCAACATAAAAATTGCCCCTCATTTTACAATTATTTTCCACATCAAACCAGTGATGAAGTCCTGATATTTAGCTTTCATTAATCCTTATTTAAGAGATTTTATTCCAAATTTTTAAGGCTAGTAGAATTTTAAAAATAATTGACCATCTTTAGAATGTCTTTAAATAAGTCTAAATTAAAATTAGGATATAACAAAGTGTCGATAATTTGAGAGCATTCTACTAATCCTGATCGTTTGGTCAGAAATTTAGCTTTCCAACATATCAGACTGGTCAAGCTAAACCAATTAAAGATGGGACGAGTAATTCGTAACTTCAAAGATTTCTAAGAAACGTATGATTTGAAAAACTGATTAAATGCGTCTGTGGAACAAAATCCTTTTTGGTTTCAGCTATTCGCTTGGAAATTTCGAACGTAAATGTTTTTGCTTTTTAATTTTTCTGTTTTATTCATTTATCCATTCGCCTACTACATAACTAAGCAAAATCATATCTTTGGATAAAAAAGAACATTATCATTTACTGCATAAAAATTATTTGAAATATATTTGTCTTCGAAGGCCAAATCCGTCATACCAATCAATTTTTTAATTCTTTTTTTGCAATTTTCATTACTTGCAGTTCATCATTCATTTCGAAAGTCACGAAGATGTTTTTACTTTTTCCAGGCATAAATTTAAATGATTGATGAATGTATAGTACTTCTGTAATTGTAAATTTCAGAATTCTCACACTAGTGGGTAATTATCCTAGCACTTGAATAACGGCACTTAAATCATTGGCATCTAACCCTTATTTAATGGAAAGCATCTTGCGCAAAAAGTGCGATTGCAGCAACAAAGGAATCTCTGAATGAGATTCAAGTTGATCGATTTTTCCGTATTTCCGAAAAATAATGATGTGTACTTCGGAAATTATGTTAATATTTGTTCACTGGTTTTAAAGCACGGAAAATTTCATAGAATATTACAGTTCTGTGATGTATTCGCATGTATTCAATTGTAGATAGGGCTTAATTTACACATATCCTCCTGCATAGGCCTTATGCATAATGTTTACATTGGGATTTTTTGCCAATTTTTCGTTGGAATACAATAAATTTGAAAAACTTTGAGTTTGAAACTACAGCACATTCTTGTGTTTTCATATGACATAATGCCACAGTCTATTTTTCCATATTTCGTTTTTATTAGAGAGAAATATTGGGAAAAAAATTCGGCAAAACGAGAATAAAGTTTATTATTTTATCGAGGTTTTCACAGAATAAAAAAAAATGTGTGATGATATAGAAGTAATCTTACCTCATGGTGAAAATGCACTGGTTCAGTGTTCAACCGGCCTTACCATAACAGAGGAACACGGAATCTCCGATGTTTATTTCTACGTTATCACTTTCAACGATATCTTTCACTCTATAGTGTTTCAAAAAGGTGCACTTATCGGAAAAATCAAAACAAATTCTTGTACATAATAAACTGCGTATTTTGGATAAGAACTGTATTATTCAAATTTGCTTATGCATTCAAAGCAAACGATCAAGCAAACAAGATAGTCGTTTAAATAATTTCATCAAAAGTCAACTATCGTAATGATAGCAAAAACAGGATAGGTCGGAAAAGAAGAAAAATACATGTCAGGCAGGAGCTGCTGTACTCAGTATCCGATTCTTTGTGCGGGTCTACTGGTAATAACAACATGACCAGCAATTCACGGGATGCGGGGAGATCGACAAAGGAATTCAACAGTTATTCAACGTGGCGTTAGGAACTCAACGTAAATGTTAAACAAAAAGATTAAGCGCTACCACTCAATAAGCAAAATAGAAGTGAAGCAATTCGTATGAATAAGCAAATCGACTATTGCAAAAAATGTATTTTCTATTTATTTTCATACTATTCTTATTAATAAAATTTCCGATTAAGAAAGAAGTCTGATCTTGATAGAATTTTCGTCACTGCACTTATACATATTTCTCTTGGGATTTTTCGGCATTTACTCGTTTCCGAAATTCATTAAAGACTATAAATTTTTTAATAGAAATCTCATTCTTGAAATTTTCTATGACACTTATTTCATGCCTTCTTTTATTCCGATGCCTTTGCGATGTGCAAATTTTGTCAAACATAGATCAAATTCAACAGGTTATACGTTTCAAACCATTCATTTTGCCTTATATCTTTTATAAATTTAATTTCGACAATTCGGCTTGTCAAAAATTCACGAATTTCTGGGAAAATAAATTAGAAATGTATTAATTAATTTCGCAAACAGCCATAGAAAGAAGTCTGTGGACAAAAATTGAAAGTTTTATTTTTTGAATGGAAGAGAAAAGAAGAGGATTTCGTTTCTTCGTTAAAATGTCTTGTTTCTTAAGCTATTCAGCGTAAGCGCTCAACGCACTTGGAATACTGTAGAAATTATACACAACTGAATAAACTCACTTTCAAGCTGGAAATCGTCAGTTGCTTCTCAACATACCCTAATTTTGAAATTCTAAATTCCTTAGTCGATCCCTACTCCTCTTCTTCCAGTAGTGCTAGCCTCTTCTCTTTAATTTATATCCTTTGTTAATTTACTTCTAATGCTGTCTGTTAGTCTGTTTAATATTTTTTTGACATCTTATTTTGCCTACAACCTTTTAAATTAATCAATTTTCTTCAGACGCACTTACCTTGGTTTGCATCGGCAGCATAACTGAAATAAAAATGATGATAAATCTACCATTTTATTTCTTCACTATAGATTTCACATAAGCTCTCATCTTTGTTTCGAAATATGCTTATAACATTTCAATCTTAGGAGCGTCAAGAAAATTGAGAAAATATTCTGCTGCCAAGACAGATTTAACTTGATAAAACATGTTATTGTTAGCCCAACAACATGAAATTCCGATGAGAACAATAGGCTTTTATATAGTATAAAAAAAGTCGCGTGAACATATTTTAGAAAACACAACTTAAATCAAAACGATTGTTAAGTATTAGTCGTAATTACATGGTCCTTTCATGCATCTTATTAGTCACTGTAATAATTCCGCTTATCAATTAGGTCAAAAAGGATAGGCTTTATATTACTGAAGCAAAGTATGGTCGCAGCATCATTTAATGAGATTCAGCTATGCTCCTCCAGGGCCTAACATTATGTTGCCGGTCTCCTCTGACTCTTTGTTAAACCTTATTTGTTAAAATTTGCTTTTGGAGACTAACACAGAGTCCCTCCATTATAATTCCTTGGCTAGTAATCCAAGCTGCATGTCATCATACTGCCTCCCAGCCAGTGCTTCAAAATTTGTTGCTTTCCGCATCCTTTTAATAAGTAAGATGTGTTTGGTCTTTAGCTAATTAAGCAAGATTTCCACTAATTGCGTCGTCATATTCTTTGCTTCACATATTTTAATTTTCCATTTCTTTCTAAAATGCAAGATGGTATTCCTTTTTTGAATTTTTAACAAGCTGACATCATTTACGAAATAAATTTGAAAATATTTTGTAGTTTCTTAAGTTTAAGTCTCCCAAAATTAAACTCTGACATCATTTTTACCGAATGATTGAAAAATTAGTAAGGTCTCCGGGGTCTTTGATCACTTAGGAACTTTCATTGTGACAGTTAATTGATAGTTAAATAGTTACAGTTATTTTCAAGTTGTTTCGCAGTGATCATTATCATGAATGGTATTGGGGAAAAAAAAAGTTCCTTCTGCTTTCTTCGTACCTATCACGTTATTTGAATCATAACTATGCATTAATTTTATTCGACACTTCACCTTTGACCTGTTATTGAAATGTTAAGATATTTTTAGATAATCTTATAATCTGCTTTGTCGTGAAAGACATCATCTGTGATTCTGTTTTTCAGCTTAACTTACGTGTTAATATAATTGAGTAACTTAGGAGTAGCAACCTAATAAATTGTCATTTAAAATATTTTAAAAAATGTGAAGCAGTGTCAATCAGAAAATATCTTTTCTTCAAGAAGTTGTCTAGGAGAAATTTCTAGTTTTGTTAATTTGGCGTTAAAAAAGTTCCTATGATATAAATCAGGTTTGATTAAACATGGCGTTTTGTCTGGTTATAAAACTAATCAAGTCTAGCAATGATTCTTTTGAACTTTAAAAGTTTGAAATTACTCGTGAAATGGGACATAATGGGCCCTAATTGCAACGCATTACTAAATATGCCAATTTTCATCAATTAGGTAATAACTTTTAACTGATAGTGATGCAACTGTCGACTCTGTCTAGATTTTCTGGCTAACACTGTTGGCACATTGACACAACCTACGTTTTGTTATATTATAATATTCTTATCAGATGCTGCAAAATTTGATTTTATTGATAAAATTCATGCCTGTATTGGTCTGAATGCATTCAAAGGGAACAAATTATTTCCTAAAAATTAAATTTTCCCTCAAGAATACAATATGGCAAAATGAGCCCACCTTTCATTATCAAATCACATTCTCCTGATAACAAGTACAAATAAATTGAACTTGTGAAACAGTATGTTACAATACTCAAGAAGAAAAAAGCTTAATTAAATTAAAGCAAAATTGAATGATGCCTTCGCTTAAAATATGAAATTTGCCCAAGTGGTTTTTTACTTTTCACGAAGTTTCAGAAGTTTTTCCCCATATCAAAATTTCTCTTTTGGAATATGACAGTGAAATAAATAGCTGAACTTCATTACCGGTAATTTTATATGTTGCTAATTCAAATCAAGATAGCTGTATCATTTCAATTTCAAGCATAAATCACTTTTACGCCTTGTTTAAAAAACTGAGTCAATGGTCACACTTCTTGCTTCTGCTGGAATGTTTCTTTGTAAAATTAAAACTTATCCAGAAAACAAAAACATTTCAGTAAACGAATTACTTTTTACCATCTTCAATCTTAACGGGACAAAATAGTCGGAGGAGCAGATAAGTAACTATTGTTTGATGATGTGATAATACTACTGTGAATAAGCAATGGCCTCTTCCCCTGACTTCAAAGTCCTAAACCTACTCTTCTACCCCTTTCTGAGTTTTCAACAATCTCAATTGGTGCACAGCCAACGTTTGTCTCATCAAACTTCAATCGAATATTGGCCATACTCTAACTCTCAGTTGCAGTTACCACCCAATATCCACCATTTTCTCTGATCCTCTCTAATTCGTTGTTTAGCAGAAAACAGAAAACCAAATTTTGGATTGATTTATTTCATTCTAATGTTATTGTTATTATTGATGCTTTAGTTCTCTTACAGATAATATGCAAATTTAAATTCTAAGAAGTTTAAATTCCTTAATTCCTAAGAAGAACTGATTGTATAAAATTAATGGAAAACATTATTTTTGGCACAGACATATATCAACATGCCTCATGAAGAACAATTAAAAATTTTCGTCCAATTTGTGAAAAAGCTGGTTTGGAGCCAATTGGATGTTAATCAAATCAGTTCCATTTATTTCTTACGAACTCACTACCTTCGTATTTCATTCCAATTTAAATCAAAGTAGTTTAACCGCAACTTATGGTATAACAAAGGACGCATGACTCATCTTTATACATTCTATGACCTGAAAGAAGCTGGTTAGGTGACCTCAATATTCATAACTCTCAGGTGAATTCTACTACTATGTCCATCAAATTTCTGTGTCCATCATCATTTACTATGTATTCGGTTGAAAATCTTTACTTGAAAAATAATTTTACCTGCAACCTTTGAAATGAGTTATGTATCTCTGGCGCAGAATTTCAAAAATCTTTCTCGACTTTTATAAAAATTAAGTGGTTGAAAAAAGAATATGGATGATGCGGAAATTTAATAGGATATTATGAGTTATTTATTTTTTTACCCACAAAAAAACAGAAAGCAAAATTGAGTATCGAACTGAAAAGTAATCATTTATAGGATCTTCTACGAAAATATACCTTTAAGGAGGATGATTTGGTTTCTCCTAGATAGCTTGTATTCTATGCTAGAGAACTTGACTTGTTTAAAAGGATTGGATAATTAAGAAAGAAGTGTGCATTTAGTCATCTAACCATAGGATGCATCAGGAATGAAAGATAGCGCAATTCCCCACAAAACAATAAATCTAATCTTTTCCTTGTCATGGCTTTGTCATGTTTGTCATCTTTCCTTCTTTAAATGTCTTATTTAATCCAAAAAAGATGTGATTAGAAATAACTTTTTTGCGCATTAATATCCGCAGATAGACGTTAAAAAATAAAAAAAAAAAGTGTTTTTGTGAGAGTAAGAAAAAGCCAACTGAACTTGAGGAATGAAAAGATGAACTAATGGCCAGGTTGGAAAATAAACTCTGATTTTGAAAAACACCAGGGGACTGACGTTCAAAGTTCAGAATTTTTAATTTAAATTTAGGAATTGTTGGTTATGCTTGCAAACGATGAAATGGTATGGGACATTTGAAAATTTTTCGCTAAAAAGGATAGCTTTCAGTTCAGAATATTTTTGGCTTTTACATTTGTGGATAATTTTGTGATTCTCATCTTTACCACACAACTCTATATGAAAGCAATTGAATAACATTTTTTCACTAGATAGCTCGCCAAAAATTTTTTTGGTGATTTGGACAGGCGATTCAATGCAATTTTTGAATTGAATTGGTGGCGCAATTGTTCAAAATAATTTTGCTTAATCACAACTTTTTCGGATATAAGCATCTCACACAATTCGATAGCGTTTTTTTTTTTCGGAAGGCTCTGAATAATCATGTTCATTCAATTAGAGCCATTTAAAATACTTTGTCAAAAACAATTAGGCGAATATTCTTAAGAACATTGGTTAAGAAATTTTCCAATCATTAATTTGTTGAGTTTTCATTCTCTGCCACAACATTCAAAATGAAAATGTTGATTTATGTTGTAGCTAATACTAGTTTAGTTAAAATTTGTTTACTACAAAGCTTAATTACGGCTTTTAAATCAAATTAAGAAATCGGTTTAAAATTAATTTTTAAATGCTAATATTCTAAAATCATTTACATTCAGCTATCTTTTTTCTCAGCAGTTGTGTAGCGACAATATCAGTGACTGATATGTTTACGCTAACTATTCGTTTATGTTCGCTTTTTCAGCTTGTTGTTCTCAGCACTACACTCGGTTTGTTTAATTTTCAATTTTCAATTAAAAACAAGCAAAAAAATACTTTACTTTTTCTGTAAAAATGATCAAACCATGATTACGAGCACGTGCAGGAGCTTTTTGAGAATATGAAATGATGAGGCAATGATTTCGATTTTTCATAGATTTTATCAGTTTCTGTAGAAATATTTGCAGTTACTTTTTGCATGAATAATCATGTTTATAAATTAATAATTATACATAACATCTACAGCATAGATTTCGTTTTTAATGTTATGTTAATTATCTGTTGTACTTGGTATGCTGAATCTTTAACGGTCAAATCTAATGATTAACTGTTATTTATCTGTGTTTTCACTTCTTTTAGTCGTAAATGAATTTCAGGTCCACCAAAATTGGATCCAGAAAATGGTGGAGAGGTATGGTTTCAGGTGAACTCGACCGGTGTTGCACGTGGTAAATTTATTCTTCCGTGCTATGCTACTGGTAATCCAGAAACGTCAGTTTAAAGTTTCGTTTAGCATAAAACTTTTAAAAAATCTTAAAAATTTAAATATTCTTTCATTTTTGATTACTTCAATACAAATTCTCATTAATGAGTTGTTTAAAACTTGGCACACTTTATTCGTCTCAGACAAAGCCTGAAACGATTATAAGTGGTATGTTGAAGAAATAAAATAAATGAAAAAGTTTGGTGTCTTATATGGTTTCTTAATCTGATGGATGCCAACAGCTCTGGCGGACAATGACTGCATCTAGAATCCATGCAAAGGCTTATCAAAATTTTATATAAAGCTTAATATTTCTATTGCGTTTGATGAAATTATCGAGTTGAGATAGATTATTTAAAACAAAATGTTGTCTTTACGGTATTTGGTCATACATTGAAAACGCCTCACTTGAACCTTGCAGTGATTTTTGATATTTGTGATGAAAATCTTTTAGTATTAAGCAAAAATAAAGATAAAGACACTGACATATCTTTCGCAAATCCCTCAGATATTTTAAGTTTATTGTTCTTCCAGATATGAATGGTTTAAGAATGGGAAAAGACTGGAAGTTGATAATAATCGGATTGTATGGGAAAAGCAGTTCCAAAGCGGTACCATAATAATCAATGACGCTCAGGATGGAGATCAAGGTTACTATCAGTGCCACGCTTCCAATATCTTTGGGACTGCTGTTTCCAACAAATTTCATGTGCAAATTGGAGGTAATCTATTGGAGGTACATTGGAGGTGATTTAAATATTCAGAGCACATAACTTTCTGTTGTTCTATTTCTGTAAATTTTTCTTATAGGACCGAATAAAATTACGCTTTCATGATAACGTAATTTTCATGCGTTGAGTGATTTAAAGAAGATATAATTTTTGCTTTCCGATTAAAATCATTTCCTGGACTTTCAAAAATTCATACATGCAAAACTCCAACAAATTTAGTGCTTGATCATTTTGCGCCCCGAGGTGTGCGTCGACTAATAGTAGATGAAGGAGGAAGCTTGAGTATTCGATGTGATATTCCTTTCGGGGTCCCCAAACCATCTGTTTTCTGGCTCTATCGCGATGCACAACGAACAAATGTCATGGAAACAATTCGACGTAAGCATATCGCTGTCGATACAGAAGGTTAGTTCACTTTGCAACTTTATTTTATTATTAAAATTGGAACTAAGAATTATCAACGTCTTTTTTGTTAAAGGCTTGAATTTCTTCCAATTCTTAATGAATTTTTTCAAAATTTTTACTTTGTGTCATCATTTTTGAAGGCACTCTTCATTTCACAGCGGTTGAAAAACATGACGGTAGACAAAATTTGATTTATCAATGTGCAGCAACCTCTCCTGTATTGCGTGGGGAATATCGTGCAGGCAACGAATTTCAGCTTATTGTCGATTCAGCTAAAAGTATCTCTGATTCGTATATTTTAAAACGATAGTTTCAAAGTTTTCACTTTTCTAAATATACTTTTGAATATAAGTGCAAAAAGCATTTTGTAGAAAGCAATGGAACAGTTATACATAAGCTGTGGTTTAGTCCAGAAGAAGTATCTGTCAAAGTAGGAACCAAACTCAAACTGATGTGCATTTTCGGTGGAAGGTGAATTTCTTTCTTACAACTTATTATAGCTCACTGCCATCCAGTTTCATTTTTTTTCCTAAACTAGGACATGCTCTCAGCATGTTTATAAAATCATTATTTTTGCAAAACAGCAAAACGTTGTTAAATTTCAATAAATTGAGGCCTTTACCGAACATAACGTGGAGTAAATTAAACGGAGAATTGCCGTTTACTCGGTTAAAAGATTTTAAATCACAAGAAGCTGACTTCGGTAAAGCTCTGATCATCGAAAACGTTCGTGCAGAAGATGCCGGAATATACGAATGTCGATCACAGCATCTATTCCATCAAATGCATGTCACTACCGCTGGTAATTCCCTACAATATCAGATCAGCATTTTGAACTTGTTGAGGTTTTACCAGATCCAATAATTTTTTCGCATAATAATTAAATATTTGCCTGATCAGGCATAGATCCTTCTTTCTAAACTTTAACTTAAATTTAAGTTTGAATCTGAAATTTATTCCAGCAGCCCCATTTTGGATAGATAAACCACCACAGGATATTGACGAACCAGAAGGAAATGCCGGTGAAATCCATTGCGTAACATCAGGCATCCCAACACCTATCGTTCAATGGTTCATCAATGGCGTACCACTACACGGTTTGATTCGATGTTTAAATATATCTTCGGAATATATATATATATATATATATATATATATATATATAT